AATCCGAGAGCTGCTGGCTGCAGCTGAGTGACAGATGTTAATAAAAAATACTCTTGCTCGCCTTGGCTGCAGGAGGCTGGAGCGCAGAATTAATGCTGTGCAGACTATGCCTGATATAACAACACATGTCTTAGCAGCCCAGAAGCCAGCATCTAATTTAATTTTCATAGGTAGGACAAAGAAAAGTATTAAATAGACATGGTGCAAATTTTTTTTCCAATTAAAAACTTTTCCAGTGGAATTTAACCAGCTTAATCGTGTCTACTGCTGTCTGAAAACCAATAGCTTTTTTTCTGTTTTTTAGGCAGGCAGCTGTGTGAGCAGGATTGTCTGAGAAATGTCTGAGAAAACTTTCCAGCAACTTAGCTGCAGCAGAACTGCCGTTAAAATACATCCCACTGTACTGCACATCTGAATTGGGGACCACAGGACGAGTCACAGGGAACACACACGGTCAAGTTAAGCTCTTGGGTTTTGCAAGCAAAGGGCACGGCGTCCTGCCGTGAGATCTGGGACAAGTGTTTCCAGATGCTCTGCTGAAGAAACAACAACCCCAGAAAAACCCAACCAACAAGCAAACAAACAGAAAAACCCAGGTGGAGTCTGTGCTGTACAAAAGAGGCACACGAGCCACGGTTGGAAGAAGCCGTAGGCAGGGAGGTTGGAGAGCCGGGGCAGGCACTGCCATTTGCATGACCTGGATGTCTGACAAGTTCCCAGGAATTTGGATTCCACAAGGAACATAATGAAACGGTTCCTCTTTGACCTTACAGCCATCCCACAGCTGTGTCTGCTGCAGATCACTCCATCTTGGATACATTTCCCAGCAGAGAAAAAAACATAAAGAGCAGCATTTATGGCTCCTGAGAAGGGCAGGGATTCTCCAACCTCCACGGCCAGCGGAAGAAGTGAAGTCTGCGAGTGAGCCAGAGGTCGAACACATGTGGTGAGGGAAAGGATGGGAAGAGAAGAGGTGGTCTGAGGCTCCTGGGCATTTCAGATTCTTAGATTTTATATATGCTAAAGACAAAGCACATCTATATATTTTTAAGGCAGTAATTTCACTTTCCTCTCCTGTCCCAAAGCCTTCTAGATGCCCTTCCAAAGGCTGAGTTTCTGAGTATTTCGCATATGGCTGGGAAGGTCTCTGCAGCACCAATGCTCTCCTAGGGGACTGCTGCAGCTTTCGATGCCAACGTGGTATTACAAGCTGTGCAGGCTTAGGCAGGCTAGTGAAAGGAAAGCTATGCAAAACATGCCCTAGCAAAATGCAAAGGCATCCCAGATTACCTTCTTTGGAGTGATTTTGGATGGTTACATAAATGCAGACTAAGTTCTCTGCAAGAGTTTGCAGGAAAGGCACTGGCTGCTCCAGCTTCTCCTGCCGTCAAGGGTAGCCCTGGTCTTCCCTCCACCCCCTGCTCTCGGGGCTGCCGGCTCCTTGCAGGGGCTGAGGGCTTTCCGTCTTTCCCTGCTTTACCTGCCCCACTCCTACAACGGTGCAGCCAGGGCTGGCGGGATCCTCTGGCAATTCACAGCTCTGAGCCGGAGATGCCTACAGGTCTATTTAAACATGCTTCGCATTGCCAGCAGAGTGCAGACCTGGCCGCTGAGTCACCATCCTTCCCGAATCTTTCCCTCCGGCAACTGCTTGCTCTGATTGTGAGACCTGGAGGCTTGGTTTAGCCTACAATAAATCATAAGCGCTTCAGCTTCAAAACCTTTATGTCCATGACCTGGGACGAGATGCCTGTGGGGCGCTTGGCAAGCTGCGCTGCCAGGTGCCGCAGAAGGGCCCCATGCACCCTAAAGCTCGGCACAAACCTGCCTGTCCCCCCGACAGAAGAGCCCCCGCAGCTGGAGCACTCCAAACCCATCACGTCGTGAGAAGCAGAGCGCCATTAGGGATGTGGCTGAGCTGCTCTGCAGAGATGGTGGGGATAGGAATTAATCCTCCCATTAATGTATGAAACAGAGCGTTTGCGTTTCACGAAGCAATTATACAATAATAACAGGAGAGCTATGATAGAAACCGCATCTTGTCTGAAGTTTCGCTCCAATCCAACACATGAATAATTCCTCCTAGGCATTACTGGGAAAGTAGTATTAAAAGACCGATATAAACAAAAACTACTGGAAAAAGCAGATGAGGCATGCTTCATCTCTCAGTTAGGGTTGAACGCAACTAAATTTATACAAAGTGGGCAGAGAAGCTTGAAGGGGCAAAGACATTTGTTACTGCTCAGTGCAAGATGAGCTCACAAGAAAACACATGCTTCATCTTGGCAGCTTTCTGATGTCTTACTCCTAAAGCATCGGCTTTATTCTCGGTTTCCATGGCAGATACTTTTCTGAGCTTGTATCTTTCACAAATATTGCTAATTTATTCTCTCAGCCATGTCTCTGCAAATACCTGCAGAATGATTCCATGTGCAGTAAGAGCGGTGAAAACCAGGCGTATGTTAACATGCCTCAGCTCTTGTTTTCGACTAGGGGAAACCATGCCTTGCAAACGAAGGGCTCATTTTCTACAACCACAAGATCACAGCTGATCTTCTGGCACTATTTTTGCCCTAAGTACTCCGAAACTGTATTATCTGTCCAGTGAAACAAAGTACCTTTAACATTTTGGTCAGGCATTTCTTACAGGCAGGTTTCCCCCCGCCCCAGCGCTGCAGGCAGCACTTTCCATCTGAGCAGGAGGGGACCAGCGATGAGCACGGTCCCTTTTCCTACTGCTCCCCGCCTCGTATTTCATCTTAACAGAGGTCTATAAAACATGAGGCTCTTTCACAGGCAGAGACCCAGGAGCCAGCCACATCAAAAAGATCCTATTTTCAGGGTGGATTTACCAGCCCTGCAAATGTTGAGCAAACAGCGGCTGATGTGTAATTCCCACAAATTCAGCAAGACTACAGCAAAGTGAGAGGCTTTTAAGTCTTTCTGGCAGAAGGAGAATCACAAGGCCTTGCAAAGTAGTTGTTTATACGCTAAAGCACATAACAGCTAGCATATACAAAAGAAAATCAAACAAACTTGTAAAAAGTAACCCGCACAATGACAGCGATGCAGAACCGGCAGAAAAAAATGGCAGGCACATGCAGGGAGAGCTCGTGCCAGTAACAATGGCGCGGAGCAAAGTCCTGGCAGCCACAGGGAAAGCCAGTCCTCCGGTGGGATGTGGGCAAATGCAGGGCATCGGGCTGCACCAGGGCGTGCCCAGCACTTACGCATGATTCCCTAAGTTCCAGATAGGAAGGCGGTCAAACACTGAAACGCAGCCGACTCCCTCTCCTAAAGGTAAAAGCCTGGCAAGCCCCTGCCAGCTGGAAGTTCATGAGAGCCTGGATGGAGCTGGGACTGCCAGTCGTTCTGGGGGCCAGGCAGCAGCCTTCCCTGCTCTGCGCACTGCCTGGTGAGCAACAGCTCACAATTAATCCCATTCTCTGCTGCGTGCCGGCACAAACGCCTGGCACATGGACTTCAGGTGCTCTTACCTCTCCCATGGCTCCCGCTGGCCACAGGAGGGGGGTTTGCAGGGGCTGCGCTCAGACATATCCCCTCACTCTGTCCGAAGGAATAGAAGTTTTAAAGGGAATGTGGAATGACAAGCAACTGGGCGATGTTACTTTGGATCTGCTCCAAATGCAGTCATGGAGCACCTCCATAGCTCTCCAGTAAATAAGGGAAACCCCTTGGGGCCGTTGGTCAAACCAGCATGGGGACAGAGGCTGCTTCTGGACTTTTTCACTAAGGATGAGTAATAGGGGTCATCAACACAACCAGTAAACAAGCAGCTAATTACGCAAACAGTGCCTCTGCAGTTTCCGGCCGCTTTTAAGCCATTAACCAAAATACACTTATCTCTGGCTCCCTGGCCTCAAGTGGCTTTTGAACCCACTGCCATTCTGGGCCAGATTTAGTTGTGCTCTCAGGTTTCTAAGCCCAGCAGGATGCTCCAGTGGTCAGAGCCAGCCCCTCGCAGGTAGCCATGCCCTGTCCACGTCCTCAGCGAGAGGGAGTCACAGAATCATAGAATATCTTGAGTTGGAAGGGACCCATAAGGATCATCAAGTCCAACTCCCTGCTCCTTGCAGGACTACCTAAAACTAAACCGTATGACTAAGAGTGAGTCTGCCCAGCCCAAGGGCTTGGTGTGAGCCGAGGGTGGGGTGGAGACCACAAACTCTTTTGGAGCAGAGGAACTGCACTGGTGAGCTGGAAATAAAAGAAAAAGGATGCTCGAGGCAGGAGCTGGGCAACACACTGTTGCTGCACCGCAGCGAGCACAGTGGGGCAGAAAGATTTTACCTGCTGCCCCGGTAAGAGCATTGCCATGTGCCAGATGGGCAGCTGTGGGGTGTAGCATGCCAGGAAACTCACCTCAGAAGACATTATGGATCAGCTGCCTCTGGTAAACCACTTGCCAATTAGAAAAATACAGCTTTGTGAGCACTAAACATGAGCTGTATCATCTGGGAAGCGGCAGAAAGCATCCCATGACCAGACCTGAGCAGGTTCTGCTGTGTTGCTGTACTTCTGTCTGAGCAAGACATAGACAAGTGCATGTCTGCATGTGCAGACTCACAGCCAGCACCTCTTGCTAGTATTGCAATAGTTCCCGCCTGGAGTTTTAACTGCTTATTATATTATATATTATATATTCTGAATGCAGAGCTTTTCTGCATGAACAAAAGGCCAGGAGCAGAGTTTGAGCTGTACTAGGTCAAAGTCCCATAGCGATAGCTGAAGTTGTGTGAAGCCTGTTCTGCAGTGGGTCAAGGGAAAACCATACCTATCACAGAAACACAGAAAACTTTTCATCTCGGCTGCACGGCAGAAGAAAGTTGGCAACTTAACTGTTAAACTCGCCTATGACTATTCAGTGTTGACATCAGCGTGATCTCATCACTGTAACTTGAGCCCTCCGGCTTTTTCTCCAGACTGCCTTTAAATACCAGTCCTGGGAGCCAGCACAGCACCAATCCCTCTGACTGGACCCGAGAACAAACCCAGCAGCACCCCACATAGATGAAAGCAAAGAGAAGCTACAAAACTCCAGCCATGTCCACATCCCTGCGAGTGAGCCCCTCCGTCCACGGCTACCGCTTTGACACAGCCCTGCGCAAGAAAGCCGTGGCCAACATCTTTGAAAGCATCAATGAAGAGTCCCTACAGAAACTCTTCAAAAACTCTGGGGACAAGAAGGCAGAGGAAAGAGCCAAGATAATCCTCGCTACCGACCAGGATTTGGAGGAGAAAACAAGAGCACTAATGGCGCTAAAGCAGAGGCGAAAAGACAAGCTGCTCCAGTTCCTGACATTTCGGAAATACTCCATTAAAGTTCACTGAACTGGCGAAGGGAGCAGAAATGGAGGAGAACGTTTCAGGATGGGACTGTTTGTGACCTCCTACCACGCACAGCACGCTCCGCTGCCCCACGAGCTGCTGGCGGGACACGGGACCTGACAGACCGCCCGCAGGGCTTCAGCCCCACCACGCACACAGCAAACCACAGCGCCGACGGCAGCATCGGTGCGGACGGCAGCATCGGTGCGGACGGCAGCATCGGTGCGGACGGCAGCATGTCAGCCAGAGGCTCCCAGAGGGCAGGCAGCTCCAGCGGGAGGCAGCCAGGCTCCTCCGGCCATGGGACTGAGCCGTGGGGGGACCCTGCACCTGGGCACAACTCGAGACCTTCTGACGGACTCGGTGTTTGCTGACTTCACCTGTGTGCTTTGCCTTTTCAAACGTGTTTCCTTAAAGTCTGAGCCTTGCTAAGCCTCACTGTTGTGGGCTAGGAGGGAGGTTCTAGGGACTGATCAGCTACTGATCATGGATCACTTTGCATTTGTTAAAATGCATGTAAGTGCACCGTATGGGTGCAGTAAGTTCAACCTTCAGGGAATGCATTTGCTCTAGAGACACACTACGCAACTGTACCTTTTATTTCTCGAGCTGTATGTGTGCAGTATAAATTGTTTGCACAGAAGCAATAATAATGACATATTTCCCTGAATTTACTGTGAAGTTCCTTAATATTTTGTTCACTTCCCATTAATACTAAAAATCTAAATATCATAACTACAGTTTTTATTTGTATAGATTACAATAGCTATTAGACAAGTACTTCATGGTAATATTTTATGACGTTATTATTATATCGACTATAATTTATTGCATATGGCAATCTGAAATTTAATAAATTATGAAGTAAATATAATTTCTCTTGTCTGAAATGCTCAATTCTCCTGGAGGAGTGGGGTTATACTTTTTTGGTCATTTCATATAGATTCCGTTTTAAGAGCAGACTACCTGCACCTCTCCTTAATTCCCAAGTGTTGATTTGGCAGCTTGTTCTCAGAGTCGGCAGCAGCCCCTGGCTTCCCTGCAGTCCTGCCGTCCACTCCAGCAGCACCACAGTTTGACCCACGGTTGCTGCGGCGACTCTGGCATGCCTAGAGAGACCGCACCAAATTTAATTGTAAATCAGACTCAACTGCTAGTTTCCTCTATATAACAAAGGAGAATTACATTTTTTGCAATAGTGTAACAGAAAAATCAGTTTAGAAAATGACCAGTTCCAAGCCACAGAGTGCGGTGCGGTTCCTCAGGCTCTTTGCATTC